ATCCTTCCAAAAGCTTAGTGTTCGGAGCGATTTTAACATAAAAACATCAAAAAACCAATGGTTTTTCAACAAAAAAATGTCAAAATCTCATCCCGCGCGCTCTTGCGGATTCGTAGGAAACCCAACACTTTTTAAACATTTCTGTCAAACGGGCTTTTGCGAGCAACTTTTTCGAACTTCTGCGACAACGGTTGCGCACCTGCCAGGGCCATCATCCCTGTCAAATAATACCATGCGGGACACATGCGCCCAGGAATTCCACAAATGTGACCAACTATCTTGCGAGTACGTATCATCTCATGTGTGTCGTGCACACTCAAATGTAACAGAGTTGTGTATTCCCATCATCCCAGGAACTTGACCCAAAAATGTGACCAACTCCGATCTCTCTGTCTCTCTCTCTCTGTCTGCTCTCTGTCTCTCTCTCTGTCTCTCTGTATTATGTATTGTATGGCACAATTGCACCATGCTGGGCACATGCGCGCCCCGAATAAGTGACCAAGTTCTGTGGGTGTGTACCCCACGCCAGTGTAGTAGCCACGGTCGTCCGCACGCACGAAGTGAAGTGTCCCAACGTCATAGGGCGGGAAGCTGGGTTTGGGTGGTCGCGAAGAGTCGTTTGGATATTTGGTAGAGCTTGTAATGCCCCCCACGAAGTGGGGGTATTGCCTGGTGTCGTATGAAAACCCTGGCACTGGGGAGAACACCACGCGTTCGGGTAAAATGATTGTTGTTGTTGTTGTTGTTGTTGTTGTTGTGTTGTTGCTTGCTGCTGATGCTGCTGCTTGCTGGTGTTGTTGTTGTTGTTGTGTGTTGTTGTTTGCGATGCTGTTGTGTATTGCGTGTGTTGTTGTTTTGCTGTTTGTTGTTTGTATATTATTGTTGTTGTTGCTGTTTTGTAATGTTGTTGTTGTTGTTGTTGTCGTTTGTCGTCATCGTTGTCGTTGTTGTTTTGTGTTTGCTGTTGTGTGAAGGAAGGCTTGAGTTGGGAGTCTTGCAATTTGCCCAAGCGCCGCGCTCCCGACACCAGGCACCAGAGTCGCGCCCGTTGTGGCCCATGTGCATGCCCTTCGTGGCCCCGCTTGTCGCCAGTTGTGTCCCCTCACTGTCCTACGTGGCCCAGTTGCTACCCTCAGTGGCCCCATAGTTGCCTTCTGTGGCCCCCCGCATTTATCTGCACATCGTGGCCCCCCGCTCGTTCGCGCTTTTGTGGCCCCTTCGTGGCCCCATACGCTTTCCCTTCGTGTCCCCGCTGTCGCCCTTCGTGGCCTACTTCGTGCCCTTCGTGGCCCTGCTGTCGTTCTCTCTCGCTCTCGTTTTCGCTCGTCGTCGCCGTCGTCGTCGTCGCCGTCGTCTTCGACGTCGTCGTCGTCGTCGTCGTGGTCGGTCCCCTGTCCGTTTCTCTTGGGGTCGGGTCGACGGTCAGTGGCCGCCCCGCCGATTAGCGCTGCCGCTGGCCAGGCCGACGGTCCGCGGCCGCCCCGCCGCTTGCCGGGGCCCGGCCTGCAGGGAAGAAAGGTATACCCCCCAAAAGGGGTTCGATCGAAGACGAAGAGGGCCGGTATCAATGGTTTGGGAAATACGCGTTATTGGACACTCGAGCACATAAGGGCGAACGGTCTTAAATGTATTGATGTTGTTGTTGGTGTTGTTGTTGGTGTTGAGGTTGTGGTTGTTGTTGTTGTTGTTGGTGGTGTTGTTGTTGTTGCTGTTACTGTTGCTGTTGCTGCTGCTGCTGCTGCTGCTGCTGCTGTTGTTGTTGTTGTTGTTGTTGTTGTTGTTGTTGTTGCGTTTGTTGTTGTTGTTGTTGCGTTTGTTGTTGTTGTTGTTGTTGTTGTTGTTGTTGTTGTTGTTGTTGTTGTTGTTTTTGTTGTTGTTTTTGAGTTCTCATTCTGAAGAATAATTATTGTTGATCCCCCCCACCTGTGCATACTGTTTTAAAATCAAAGTGTGCCCCGCGACGCTCGCACCCTATTTTTGTCAGGGAAAGTCTTCCTGCTCAAACTGGGCCCCTGGCCCCCCGGGTTACAACAACAACGGCTTCCGCTTGAGACTTCCTTGCAATTTAGCCATGACCCTGACTCCCGCCCGAGACTTCCTCGCATTTTATTCAGGAATCGCGCTCTCGCTTGGGACTTCTTCAAAATTCATTCAGGAATTGGTCTCCCGGCGCTCTGGAGTCGCGCTCTCGCTGGAGACTTGCTTGCAATTTACTGAAGAATGGTCTTGCGTTGGATATTCCTGCAATTTGCCCAAGCGCCGCGCTCCCGACACCCAGGCACCCAGGAGTCGCGCCCGTTGTGGCCCCATGTGCATGCCCTTCGTGGCCCCGCTGTCGCCAGTTGTGTCCCCCTCGCTGTCCTACGTGGCGCAGTTGCTACCTTCAGTGGCCCCATAGTTGCCTTCTGTGGCCCCGCATTATCTGCACTTCGTGGCCCCCCCCTCGTTCGCGCTTTTCGTGGTCCCGTACGCATTCCCTTCGTGTCCCCGCTGTCGCCCTTCGTGGCCTACTTCGTGCCCTTCGTGGCCCTGCTGTCGTTCTCTCTCGCTCTCGCTTTCGCTCGTCGTCGTCGTCGTCGTCGTCGTCGTCGTCGTGGTCGGTCCCCTGTCCGTCCCTCTTGGGGTCGGGTCGACGGTCCGCGGCCGCCCCGCCGATCAGCGCTGCCGCTGGCCAGGCCGACGGTCCGCGGCCGCCTCGCCGCTTGCAGGGGCCCGGCCTGCAGGGAAGAAAGGTATACCCCGTAAAGGAGTTCGATCGAAGACGAAGAGGGCGGGTATCGAGGGTTTGGGAAATACGCGTTATTGGACACTCGTGCATCTAAAGGCGAACGGTCTTAAACTTAATATTATTGTTGTTGTTGTTGTTGTTGTTGAATTCTCATTCGGAAGAATAATTATTGTTGATCCCCCCCACTGGTGCACATTGATTTGTTTCTATTGAAGTGCCCCCCCGGGGCTCGCACTTTTTTTGTGTTTTGTCAAAAAAACATCTTCCTGCTCAAACTGGGCCCGTGCGCCCCGTACTACAACGATAACGGCTCCCGCTTCAGACTTCCGCACAATTTAGCCAGGACCCCCGCTCCCGCCCGAGACGTCCTCGCATTTTATTCAGGAGTTGCGCTCTCGCGTGGGACTTCCTTACAATCTATTCAGGAATCGCTCTCCGGGCGCTCTGGAGTCGCGCTTTCGCTGGAGACTTGCTTGCAATCTACCATAGAATAGCGCCCTTGCGTGGGATTTTTTTGCAATTTACTCAAGCGCCGCGCTCCCGACACCCAGGCACCCAGGAGTCGCGCTCACGCTTAGGATTCCTTCACAGATTACCTAGGATCTCGCTGCCCTTCGTGGCCCCGTTGCAGCCCCTCGTGGCCTCCTCGCTGCCCTTCGTGGCCCCGCTGCAGCCCTTCGTGGCCCCCTCGCTTTGTTTCGTGGCCCCGTTGCAGCCCTTCGTGGCCCCCTCGCTGCCCGTTGTGGCCCCGTCGCAGCCCTTCGTGGCCCCGTTGCAGCCCTTCGTGGCCCCCTCGTTGCCCTTCGTGGCCCCGTTGCGGCCCTTCGTGCCCCCCTCGCTGCCCTTCGTGGCCCCGTATATGTATGCCCTTCGTGGCCCCCGATAGTTCGCGCCTGTGGTTGCCCCATATGCATGCCCTTCGTGGCCCCGCTGTCGCCCTTCGTGGCCCCCTCGCTGCCCTTCGTGGCCCCGTATATGTATGCCCTTCGTGGCCCCCGATAGTTCGCGCCTGTGGCTGCCCCATATGCATGCCCTTCGTGGCCCCGCTGTCGCCCTTCGTGGCCCCCTCGCTGCCCTTCGTGGCCCCCTCGCTGCCCTTCGTGGCCCCCCTCGCTGCCCTCCGCGGCCCCATATCTGTGTGCCCTTCGTGGCCCCCGCTCGTTCGCGCCCGTTTTGGCCCCACGTGCATGCCCTTCAGGGCCCCGCCGTCGGCGTGTGTGGCCCCCTCGCTGCCCTACGTGGCCCAGTTGCGGCCCTCAGTGGCCCCATCGTTGCCTTCTGTGGCCCCGCATTATCTGCCTTTCGTGGCCCCCCGCTCGTTCGCGCATTATCTGCACTTCGTGGCCCCCCCCCTCGTTCGCGCTCTTCGTGGCCCCAAACGCATTCCCTTCGTGTCCCCGCTGTCGCCCTTCGTGGCCTACTTCGTGCCCTTCGTGGCCCTGCTGTCGTTTTTTCTCGCTCTCGCTTTCGCTCGTCGTCTTCGACGTCGTCGTCGTCGTCGTCGTCGTCGTCGTCGTCGACGTCCTCGTCGTCGTCGTCGTCCTCGTCGCGGTCCGTTCTCTGTCCGTCCCTCTTGGGGTCGGGCCGACGGTCCGCGGCCGCCCCGCCGATCAGCGCTGCCGCTGGCCAGGCCGACGGTCCGCGGCCGCCCCGCCGCTTGCCGGGGCCCGGCCTGCAGGGAAGAAAGGTATACCCCCAAAAGGGGTTCGATCGAAGACGGAGAGGGCGGGTATCGAGGGTTTGGGAAATACGCGTTATTGGACACTCGAGCAGATAAGGGCGAACAGTCTTAAAATGATTGTTGTTGGTGGTGGTGGTGTTGTTGTTGTTGCTGTTGTTGTTGTTGCTGCTGCTGCTGCTGCTGCTGTTGTTTTTGGGGGGTGAACTAACAAATCCCAGGGGATCTGTTCCTCCCCTTCGGCCCTCCAGGGCCTGTTTCCTGGCCGGGGGCCGTCAGGAATGGATCCGGGAGGAGGCGCCGCCCTCGGGGAGCGGGTCGGGCTCTCCCGGGGGTCGCGCAGGGGAGAGATCACATCGTCGGATGTCTGGGGAGGGAGGCTGCGCAGGAGCGGGGTGGCCTTCTGAGGATGCCTGGGGGGCCTGGTTCGAAGGCATGGGGGCCTTCCAAGGAGCGATGGAGGGTGCTGCCAGGGAGGCTTCTCAGACGCAGGGATGGGGCTTCTGAGAAGCTGCCTGCCTTCTCAGGTGCACCCCCCCCCGCCTTCTTGGAACACCGCCCCCTCGAGCCACCTCTTGTACGCGTCGCCAACAGGTGGCATCGCCGCTGCCCGTCACTCGGCTCGGCGGCGCTTGACGCGCTCAGCGCCTTGCAGTAGTAGGAATTCCAAAGGCCAATGCGGAAGCCGGTGTCGTGAATCGGCGACCTGGCGACTCGTCCCGCGCGCAGCGCGAGACATGTAGGATCTAATTTTGGAATTCGAGGCACCTTCGTGTTTTCGCACCGGTGCACGCCACGCAGTTGCACGCGCCCCGATCACTGGAATGTAACGTTGCCATTCCGTGCAGAAGGGTTTTTGCGTATCCGAAGAACACAAAGCGGCTCGGACGCATGTTTCCTAATGTCTGCGAGGATTTCTTGGATCGGCTCCGGGCCTACAGTCGGGGCTCTGAATAAGGAACCCTTTTCGTTGGGGAGGGGCTCCGTGTTCCTTCATTGTTTCACATTTTGCCCCAGGTTATGCTTGGATTTTCGATGGGAAGTCGAAATTGAACTTCTGGAGAAAAGGGGCCTCGTTCCTTATTTAGGGTTCCTTAGGTCAACGCCCCGACGGTACCTCTCTGGAGCGCGGAGCGGCACCAGGGGCGGCGCTCGAGGCTCCGCCAGCGGCGGTCTTTGTGCCGATCCAAGCAGCCCGGGCGGACTTCGAACGTTCTGTGTCTATGCTCTGAGGCTGGGGGTAAGCCATACCCATCGGTCGTCGAAAGTAGGTATTCTTGGATTCTCAGATCCCAATCTACTTTAGGTTGAAGCTCGCTGAGGGGCAGCGAGCGCGATCTGTGTTTCTGGGGCGACGGGGGAGAGGGCAACGCTTTTGTGGGGCAAGAGACAGCATGAGCAGCCCAATCGTTTGCAAGAGTAAACCTGGAATCAGAGCTTCTCGCGAAGGGCGGCTGTAAGGATTGCTGTTGACCGATCAAGCGCGCCCGCCGAGCGTACGGGGATCTGGCCCTGGAAACAACGCTGCCCCCCCAGCGACCTTCACAAACTTTAGGCGTCTTCCTACTTCAATGATCGATCGGCTTCACCTTCTTCGTCCTCTTGAGAGGGCGGGCGGGTACCCAATCTCTTTTCAACGCCCTCCTGCTTCGTGGTTCTACCTACTTCTTCCGACCGATGGGTGATGATCCACCGCGAGGGAAACCGATCTTCCAGGACTTCGGGATGCGGTGGATGGGGCTATCTTCGGGCTGCAGGAGGCCCAATCATGTATGCATACATCCACCGCCCGCTGGGGTCCCAGGGCTCCAGTCTTACGTCGGACATGTCCCTCGACAGGATGAATACACAAACATTGTCCAAACATCTCTGGAGACGATTATTTTATTTTTGTTGGCAGCTTTCCAGTATGTGTTGACTTGTTTGTTTTTTGTCCTCCAAAATCCGCCTGTACGGGGACATGCCCGACCTAACTCCAGTTCTGCGAACGTTTGATATGGACAAGTCCCCGCCTCGCATCTGCAGTTTTGTTCTCTTCGTGGCATGGTCAATGCTCTTGCAGAGATAAAGTAGTCGCGTATATAGCCTGAGGCCGAAGCGCGGTGGCGCAGACAGGAGTGCCCGCCCGATGCCTGGGTTCCAGCGGCGCGGCGACGCAGAAGCGTTTTTTTGTGCCGCTCCATCCTCTTCGCCCTTCCTGCTGGTGCCTCCCCTCCTCTCTCCCTTCCTCCCTCCCCTCCTCCCTGGTGTTTCCTTCAGGGCTCCCTGCTGGTGCTTCCTGCGAAGATCAGTGGTACTTCCTGCTGGTGCTTCCTGCTGGTACTTCACCCCTTGCCCTAGGGCTCACATCGCTGGCCTGGTGTTTGGGGATCCCTCCCCTTCCTCCCTCTTGCTCCTCCCCTCGCTCCCAATCTGAGCGCTGGAGAGTGGCTGGCTAGCGCCTCCAGTGCCTTGTACCATGTATCCCTATGTTCTTGCACCCCCCACCCCTGATCAATGGCACATTATGAGTGCTACTTTGCTTTGCCCTCTGATTCTGTCCAGACAGTATTCGGCCCTCGCCGCGTATGGCTTTCACACAGGGTTTCAAGCATTGATTTTCTCAGTGTTTTCGCAATTCGATAATTGCCACTGCTTCAAAATGATGGCTTCGCTGTATTTTGAGTCCCATTTTCGGATCGGGGCTTTGCTGCCGTCGTTCAGAATGGTAGTCTCGCCCCAGCGTTCGCCACTTTTTTGGATTTGGGTCCTTGATTCGTTGTCGTCGCCCCCATCACATCCCCTCGTCCGCCTTCCTTTGGTCCTCTTACTTCTCCCGCTCCTTCCACTCCAGCTCCTGCTGCTTCGTTCCGTCCTCGTCCTCCTCCTTTCTCATACTTCTTTTCCTCCTGATCATCCTCTTGCTCATCCACCACTTATTTCAGATATGGCGCGAGCGCGCCTAGCTTGGTGTCACCATCTCTTCCTCCCTCTCTCCCTCCCTCCCAGGATTGCCCCGCGGTGGACTTCGATATGTGTTTTCATCAGGCCGCTGTCTTCTTCAACAGCTGTGCTAAGGCTGTAACGTTGACTGCATTTCATGATGTCCACAGGGCCTCCGTCCAACGGAACGATGCTCTCGCCGCGGCGCTTGTCGTAGTACTGTGTCGGCAAAGGCTGTGTGTTCCCGATGTCCGTGGGCTTTTCGGCCCATGAAGCGATGCTATCGTCGCAGCTTTGGCCGTGCTTCTGTATCGGCAGAGACGCAGTTCCCGTTGCAGCGTTTGCCACTTGTCGAGGTTTCCCATAGGCCTCTGACCCACTGAACGACGAGCCAATTCTTTGTGTCCTTTGTAGTACGCCTTCTCTTCTTCCCAGTGCATCCGTGCCTTCATCTTCGCCGTCTTCAGTTCGACCTTCTGCGCCGCCCGTCACCGCTCCTCTTGCGTTCCCTTGCAGTTTTGCCATGTGACCCGTTCTTGCTTCGGCAGAGGGAAGGGGACAGTTTCAACAGCAGAGGCAAGACGAGGGAACACCTCCGGAAAAAGGCTCGGTCGTTCCATATAATTGCATGACTCGATTCTCAAAACATGGGGCTTCGTTTCTCACTTAGCTTTTTCCAGCAGTGCCGTGACTGTACGAGTGAGGCGAGCGTTGCGTCGATCACTACGTCTCCCAGCAGCACGTCTGCGACCATCATCTCGACTTTGAGTAACGCGGCGGGGTCGAGTACCACGACGCTGGGCAGCATGGCGGGACCCAGCATCACCTTCAACAGCATGTCTGTCACCAGCGCGTCGACACCGAGCGGCCTGATGAGGTGGTGCACCACAGCGGCGAACCGTACGACGAGAGCCAGCACCAACACCCTCACATTCATGATTGTGACGAGCAGCGCAATGAGGCCCATGGCCAGCCCACCAGGTCTCGCGAACATGGGCACCAGCAGCGTCACGCTCACGACTGCGATGAGCAGTGCTACGAGCAGCACGTCCACAGGCATCGCCTACGCGACCAGCACCGGGACACAGTGCAGCACGACGGAGTCGAGAACCACCACGACGTGCAGTGCTACGGGATCCAGCGTCAGCAGCCTCACGCCGAGTGGGACGAGCAGTGAACGGAACACTGCGCCCGCCTCGTCATCGAGAAACGCGAGAAGCTTAGCACCACGACGCTGCGCAGGACGACGGGGTCCTTCACCAATAGCCTCACACCTAGGAGTGTGACGACCAGTACAGCGACCACCACGTCTGCCAGCAGCACGCCAAGGACGAGCATCTCGACACAGAGCATCGCGGCGAAACCCAGGCATCATGACGTTGTGCACCAAGACGGGACCCAGCATCAGCAGCCTCACATCTACGAGTGGGACGAGCAGGGCAACGAGCGTCTCGCCTTCGAGCCGCACGTGCGGAATCACTTCGGCACCGTGCAATGCGACGGAGTCAAGCACCATGTCGTTGAGCAGTTCGACTGGGCCCAGCACCAGCGCCCCCCACTGCCACGAATGGGACGAGCAGTGAAACGAGCCCCATGTCTTCGAGCAGAACGTCCGGGACCAGGCCCGGGTCACAGGGCAGCACAGCGGAGGCGAGCAACATCACGACGTGCATAGTCACAGCATGTTGCATTAGCAGCCTCACCTACGAGCGAGACGAGCAATGCTTCGAACACCATGGCGTACAGCAGCACGCCGGTGACCAGCAACTCGACACTGCGCAACGCGACCGAGCTGGCGGCCACGAAGCTGAGCAGTACGTTGCGATTCAGCACCAAAAGCCTTGCACTTACGAAGGGGACGCGGAGTGCAGCGAGCAGTACGCCCCCCAGTAGCAAAGCAAGGACCAGCACCCAGACACTGACCACAACGGTGGGACCAGCATCAAGACGGATCCAGCATCAGCAGGCCCACATCTAAGAGTGAGACGAGCAGGGCAACGTGCATTACGCCTTCGAGCAGCACGTCTGGAACCACAATGACACCGCGTAGCATGACGGATTCGACCATTACGACGACGAGCAACACGACCAGATCCAGCCCTAACAGCGTTGCACCTACGAGTGAGATGAGCGGTGCATCGAACAACACGTGCTTCAGCAGTACGCCTGCGACCAGTACGACGGGATCCAGCAGTATCACGTTTCTCAACAGCACGTCAGCCACCAGCGCATCGACACTGAGCAGCGCCAGAGGGCGGAGCACCACAGTGTCGAACAGTACGACGGGAGCCATCACCAACATTTCCACTTTTACGAGTGTGACGAGCAGGGCAACGACGTCTGGGGCCAGCCCACCAGAGTTTGCGCACATTGGCGCGAGCAGCCTCTCACCCACGACTGCGAGGAGCAGTGTTGCGTGCAGCACGACCTCCAGCAGCACCTGCGCGACCAGCAGTCGCACATCCACGAGCGGAACGATCGTGGGACGGTTCGGCACGTTGAGCCGTGCATCTGCACGGCATGTCGTTCACCACCAAGGCGAGAGTGCGACGGGACGGCACGGGACGCCCATGAACGCGGGCAACCACCCGGAATCCGCTCCAGGTGTTAGGCCGATCGCACCGCAGGCTACACGGGGGCCGCAACCAGGTTGACCGCGCGAATCGCATCTCATCCCCGATCGTTCTCCCCCTGCCCCTCCCGCCGCCTGGAGA